GTCCAGGAGGCATCCTAAACAGATGCCCAAGCCACCTCAACTGGCTCCTCTCGACGTGGAGGAGCAGCGGCTCTACTCCGAGTCCCTCCCGGATGACCGAGCTTCTCACCCTATCTCTAAGGGAGAGCCCAGCCACCCTACGGAGGAAATCCATTTCGGCCACTTGTATCCGCGATCTCGTTCTTTCGGTCATGACCCAGAGTTCATGACCATAGATGAGGGTAGGAACGTAGATCGACCGGTAAATCGAGATGAGGACCAATATGCAGAAACCTAAGCTGAAGGTGGTTTCTTGTTAATTTAATTTAAAAGGTGGCAACAGAAGCAAAAATCCAAAAACATAAATCCACAAAATAGTGAAAACCAGGAATACTCACGAGAAAGGATAAGAAATGACAATGAAACAACCAAAACTCACTGAGCAGGAGGTGTATAAATGGGCGTCAGAAACAAAGACCAGGCTAATCAGCAGATTGGGAGCAGGTGTGGACAGAGGACTCTAGAAGGGAGCTAGGAGAAAGGAGACTGACACAAGAGGGCAACAGCGGGCAAACAGGAAATACCTAAGAACTCAAACACAATAAAAAATAATGAGCATAACACAAAATAGAAATAAAATCAATAAAAACTCAAACAGAGAACCTAGAGAGAACCAAAACCATGACACTGATAGAGAATATTTGGGTGTAAATCACCACCTGTATCATGTGTTAAAATGTAATATGAATTTTTGCAGATGGTTTTACAATATTTGCCAATATCACAAAATGTGTCACATGATATAAAATCACCGGCCTATTTAACAGATTGATATCAACTCACAAAAAGAAGATCAAATATGATTTGACCATCTAAAGTCCACAGGAATAAGGCTTTTATATAAAAAAAGAACTGATCACATGTTTTGTGAATTTAAAAATGAAAAGGCATATCTTAAAGATAAGAATATAGATCAAGGTTTTTATTGTGCATCAATTTAATTGGATTGGTTTGTTTCGGAGCAATTGAAACCTTTTATTATACAAATTAAGAACACAGTTGACTCCTTTTTTACTACCAGGGCACAGTCAGGGGAATTGGACAGAATTTCCTACGACTGCAGCCACAAAGTTTAAGTTGTTAACAGAGCTGACTCTGAATAGCAGCCTGTCAGATACAATCATCCTGTCTGGGCTGCTCCCTAAAACAGACCAGCAAAACCAAGAGGGAATCGAGCTCCATGACGTGATATCAGCTTGTGTCCTCATCCTCTATCAGAGCCCTTTTGTGTCTGATCCTCCTTCTCAGTTTGTTTCTAAAGCATGTTTTTGTCCTGATGAAAACATTATTTTCTTTTCTGTTAGAGTAAAATAAAAAGTAAATTAAAAAGGGAAGAATTCTTCTCTGGTTTTTTTTTCAAATGAAAAATGTTTTGTGTTGTCTCACATAACTCTGCTGGATTTTGGTCCCAGCGAAATGACTCAGAGCTAAGGCTGCATCTGGAATTTGACCTGGAAACTAATACAACTAAACTATGTTAAAACTGTAATGAACAAAAATAAAAGGTTTGGTCATTGTTGCGCTAATTGTGCTGACTAACAACAGTAAGAAAAACAAGCTATAAATATTAGCTTATCAAAGAGATTTTGCTCACTGGCACTGCATGGTGTGTGAATAATTTAATGATATACAGACCCTCAGAAGTCCAGGCAAAACATTTATTTCTGTAAGTTTCCCTGCACTACTTAAAGGTGCCGCCTTATCGGAAGATCTGAGTCTTTTGCAGTTAAAGTTTCAACTCTAAGAAGCAATAAAGTAGATTTCTTTTCACTCCAAATATCATCAATGTTGACTTTACAGCACAAATTAAAGCACCCTAAATGCTCCCACTGTATTGAAGAGTGGTTCAATAAATAGCATACAAGACTGGATTGTGATCAAGCAAAAAAAGCATCAAGAAATAGGCAATTTTGTGTTTTTTTTGTAATTAGAAAAATCATAAAAACTTTGGTGCCAGAATTATTGGTACTTTTTTTTCTAATTAAATTTAACAGTACATTGATTTGTTTATTATTATTTGTGAGTCTTGAGAAATGTTCCATTTATAATCAATGCCTTTGTGTTTCCTTAAGTATACTTGTGCCATGGCACAAATGCACATTTCCCTTATCTTCTCATCAAAATAGAAAAGACAAGAAAACACAACATTAAACAAGCCATATATGAATGGTGTTCTTTATAGGTAGGATTAATGGTAACCTGAAAATGTCATCTTCTCCAAACTTGCACATATCTGAGGTCAGAAGAATAATTAAAAAGCTTCGAATTGCTATTAACAATCATGTATATCTTTACAATCAAAGCTTATTTGAAAAAGTAATAACTAAGACTTTTTTGTAAAATCAACCAAAATCATTCTTATTTGTCAAGTTTTATCCTTTTAAACCTTAAGGAACAATACAAAACTACTTTGGTGCAGTCTGTAGCCTGTATTTATATCATCTGGTCCATTTCACAAAGCAGGTCTACTTAAAACTAGTGTTGCGCCGAGGCCCTTTTTTGGCCCCGATAACCGATATCTGGATGTGCAGTATTGTCCGATACCGACACCATCTGTTTGAAATTGATGTGTGTGTGTATATATGAAGAGCTGCATACTACTTGGATGTAAAATAATTCCCATCATGGCTTTGTCAAGCTGCTGCCTACCTTTGTGAAGCAGGAAATACAAAATTAATCCAGTAGAACTTTTAATTGCCTAACTGGAATGGGTGACAATAGTTTAATAAACTTTTGGCTCTCAAAATGGTATCGGTGCCCTATTTGTCGGTACTTGCCGATACCGATATCCCCATGTTAGTGCTGGATCGGGGCCTCGCCTGATACTGGTATCGGTATCGGTTTTTTAAACCTGAAATTTTTCTTCTAATTTTCCTTTTTACAAAGAGAGTCTCTTCAACCTAGTAACATTCGCCCCAGAGCTAACCTGGTCAAGATCAGGTTTTCCTTAATAAACTCCGCCCTCATGAAAGACAATCATGTTTTTCTATTTCCTGATTTATTCAGAGGAGTTCTGTCATAGCTTTGTGAGAACAATAAAAATAAAATAAAACATCTGCTAGGTTAAATAGACACATTAGGCCTTAAAGACACAAGCATAGCATGTCCTTTTGAGAAGGATCCGTTTAAAGGATGAGTGGCATTAATTCCCAGAGAATTAAATATTTATAAGGAGAGCGTTCTCAGACTTTCATATTCAGAAAGTTATCTTTATGAGCGTTATTGTTTCACCTCACAATCGATCACGAACATCCACTACCTTATCTGTCTAACATTAGCAGCAATACACAGACTCCTTTAACAGAATATCAATGCAAGCACATTGACATGTGATAACAGCAATATAGAAAGCAATTGCAGAGTCAAACAGCCACTTAGAATTTACTGTGTAATCATGGATTATGGTTTATTGCTGATTTATTTATCCAAAAAGGTACCAGAATAAAAAATCCAAAAACATCAATCCTCAGGATCCGCAAAAATACAGATAAACCAGGAAAACTCACTTGAAGGGGATGTTGCTGCCTGTTTTCTGCATTGTGATTTGAAACATTTGGTGTTAATATTACGTATTGCTCCTTTAAATATTGTCATTCTAGTATTTAGCTTCCTATTTACGATCCATCCCACAGATCAACTAGATGGGATGTGTTTATGCTCCTACTGCACAAAAATGTTGACACATGATGAGAAAAAAAAATCACTGCTTCATTATATATATATATATATTTTTTTTTCCTTTCTAAGAGTTAGCATGTCATATTAGTTCTAAAATATGAGGATTGGTTTTTTTTGCCCTCCTAATTGTATTGAGTTGCTTTGAGTTGACAGTCTGAAAGTGCTACTACATCAATTTAAAAATCATAAGCCGTCTTGCAGCAGAGTTTTGATGAGGATTTCTGGGAGTGTCTCATCTTCCAGTTCAAAAAATTACATTGTAGTTTTCAGATTTAAAGTAGCATTTTCTTTATTTTACAATTTCCTATGGAAGTGGAAAACTATGAGCTACATAAATCTCTCTGTTCCAAACTTTTTAGTATGCCTTCTGATGAACCAGTGAAAGTATTCTTTTCTCAGCTCAACTTTTTTATCTGAATTTGCTCAGGTACTATGTCGTCACATGCAGATTATAGCTCAGTTTGACTCACTTTAGGAAATATGCACATGTGATACGATCTGGTTGAGCTGATTATGTGGAAGTAAAGTAAGAACTTTTAAAAGAGATGCACGTTTCATTTCAGTTCTTTAATAGGAATTATAAAAAAAATAAATACATTTGTAAGATATGTTGATGAATCTGAAAATGAAATTAAGAGAATATGCATTTTTTTTTTTCTGCCCCCGCTTGATAGGATTACATATTTGGAAAAAACAGAACCAAAAGAATGAGATGGACTTAATGCAAGCTATTTCTTATATATCTTATATATACAACCTATTGCATTCCAATAATGTAGATTTTTATTAAAAAAGCTTATTTTAATATTTATTTCAGTTAAAGTGAAATTCATCCATAGAGTCATTATACACAAATGGATGTTTAAACTGTCTATAGCCAACAGCCATTAAACACAAAAATTCAGTTTTTATTTAATTTTATGAAATCCAAACCAAATATTTTTTATTTATTTTTTTTGTTATGGCTTACAATAAGAAGGGAAGCTCCTTACGATACAATAGTTTAGCAGACATTGATTTACGCGCTCCTAAGAAGGTTAATCCATAAATAGTCATTACTAACAAAGTTTGCAGTTCACAGATTATGTTTCTCATCATATTAATAGAAAATTGAGTGGAAGAAAAAAAAGTGTGGCAGATAAAAGCAAACAAGTAACAGGGATAATGTCTGACATGAGAAGCAAATATCTCTTTGCAGATGTAAATTAATCTCCCCTCAAGGGACAAGTAAAGGGCTATTCTAGTGTAGTCTGGTCAGTGACCTCAATATCATTGTTTTCCAGGTGATGCAATAGCCCAGCTGACAGATGTAGGATCAGCCATGCAGCCCCAGACAGATGGGCGTGTCACGGTGTTCAGTGATAGGACCGGGATGGTAAAGGCTGCCCGCCTGCTCCTCTCATCAGTCACTAAAGTCCTCGTCCTCGCTGATCGCATCGTCATCAAACAGATCATCACGTCACGCAACAAGGTAAGGTATCCTGAAATGAAATAGAACATCACTGAATTCTCCTCATCCACGTATTCCGTAAAAATTCAAAAAATATCCACTGGACTTGGTTTTCAAGATTTGAAGACGTTTCGCCACCTCTCCAGGAAGCTTTCTCAATTCAAATGTCTGGATCCGCAGTGAGTTTGAGTCTTATATAGACAACGCCTTGTATCGCTTGGAAACATGCAATGGTAACCGATGAATGGGTCGTTAGTTCCATCGTTAGCCTGTAATATCTGAACCTTTCTATGATTCTAGGGGTCGGTCGTTAAAGGGGGGATTGCCATTAAGGGGGGGGATTGTCTCCTGTAATACCTGAAACCTGTCTATGATTGTTAAGGGTTGGTCGTTAAGGAGGTATTGTTCACCGGCTGGGGCGGGTAGGCCCCTTGTTCCTACCCGTTTAAAGTTGGTTTTTAAAAAAGTTGGTTTTTTAAAAACCAACTTTAAACAGAGGTGGTGGACTCAGATTCCAGCTTCCAAAAACATACAATTCAATCATAGACATGATCCCTTCCAGATATCACCAAACCCGCCACCCCATCACAGAGGAACAAGGGGCCTACCCGCCCCAGCCGGCGAACAATACCTCCTTAACGACCAACCCTTAACAATCATAGACAGGTTTCAGGTATTACAGGAGACAATCCCCCCGCCTTAATGGCAATCCCCCTTTTAACGACCGACCCCTAGAATCATAGACAGGTTCAGATATTACAGGTTAACGATGGAACTAACGACCCATTCATCGGTTACCATTGCTTGTTTCCAAGCGATACAAGGCGTTGTCTATATAAGACTCAAACTCACTGCGGATCCAGACATTTGAATTGAGAAAGCTTCCTGGAGAGGTGGCGAAACGTCTTCAAATCTTGAAAACCAAGTCCAGTGGATATTTTTTGAATTTTTACGGAATGACTTTGACCTGGATGACTGAGAACCTTCATCAGCACTCATCCACGTAACAAGGAAATCCAGTCCCTTCATTTTCCACATAGGTTAACAGTGTCCCCCCTTTGAAAGAAAAACACTCTGGATGTAATTTAAAGGAAGCAGCATTTTTAGTGACCACATAAAAACACCCTGCCAGAGACCATGTCTCACCCTGGTACCTGGAAATGCTCTTAGGCAGTCAGTGTGATATGGATGTTGTTTCAGACTGGGCTGAGAGTGGAAACAGGGACCTAATCATGACTGGTTTGCTTTGTTCGGACAGACAGTCTTCAGCTCTCTGTTCTCCATTACTGGCAAACACAATTAGATCTCTTCCTCCTCTTTACACAGCGCAGATAAAAGCCCCTGCTGCCTTGGTGCTGCCAGCTAGCATATCCTTAACAACTAAATTACCAACTTACATAAACTAATCGTTAACTAAAATGCAGCTTTTTGGCTGCCTAACTTCAATATGTAATTTAGTATTTTATCTCTTTGATTATAGCAGCAATCAGCAGTAGAAATGTAAATATAATTCAGTTCCTTGTAAGAGGCTCCCTGTTTTTTTTATTTTTTTATTTATTCAGATAACAATGAATGATTTATTTTCTAAGGACCCTGAAATAGAGAAAAAAAAAGATAAATAACTTCGAAAATGCCTTGACTAGTGAAGTGTATTTATATTACAGCTGTAAATCTTTTGGAGTCTGTCTACCAACTTTGCCAATCTTAAACAGATTTTTTTTTTCCTGTTTCGCTGCCAAATTGCTCCATTCAGAGCTCTGCTAGATTGGATGGAGAGTGTTTGTGAACACAGATTTTTAAGGGTGCAACAGATTCTCAATTTGATTTAAGTGAAGGCTTTGACTGGGTCATTTCAACACATGTAGAAGCTTTAATCTAAACCAGGGGTTTCCAACTCCATTGTCCTGGTTCTCTTAGATACTAGCCCTTTTTCAGCATACCTGAATCAAAATGCTGACTCATAAACAAGCACCTGCAGAACTTGATGGCATGCTGGTGAAGTAACACAGATAACTGATCCTGTGTCTTTGATCAGAGATGTCTCTGAAAATTGCAGGACAGTGACATTTGAAGCTGGATTTGGAGACCCTCTGTTCCAGTCTTGGGTCTTTGGCAGTCTCTGCAACCCTGCAACATGATGCTGCCATTAGTATGTATTACAGCAGGGATAGTGTGTTAGGGGGAATTTTAAGTGTTTTCCATGTCTTCAACATGTTAGTTTGGTTTTAATTTGACCAGAGCTTCTTTCCACATGTTAGCTATGTCCTCTACAAGTTGGAAAATGCACAACAAATTGTTTTCCTGGATTATTTACAGATTCTCCAACCAAAGTCTTGGATCTCTATAGATTCTCCTGACTTGCTTAAGGATATCCTTGAACCCCTGTCAGTTCAGAGAAATAGTATCATGTCTCGATAGAGGGTCAGCAGTCCCATTTAGGTTTTAGGTGAATGTTTAGGTGAAATTTGCTTAGTGAAAACAATCTATGCTTTGATTCTCGTCTTATAAGCTAACGCTGCTCTAAACTTCTATTAAACTGTATTCATTTGAGATTTTTATTGGTTAAAAGAGAAAACGTAGAAAAAAGCTATTTCCAGATTCCACCCAATTTACATTTAAGTCATATTTGATGCTGTTCATCACAGACATTCTTAGTTATGTTTTGCAAGAAAATGAATGTAAAAATATATTCAGTTGCAGTTTCAGTTGTAAGTTGTACATCCATCATCCAACTTCTATATTATGCAGAATCCTATTTTTTTTTTTGCCATGTGAGCACTGCATGAAATGTTCTCGAGGGTTTTGGGGTACCTGCTAATTACTTCATCCAAAACACATATGTGTAATTCATCATCGCTCTCTGATCATCTCTCTCCTTCCAGGTTCTTGTAACACTCGACAAACTGGAAAGAGTCAGCACCTTCCAGGAGTTTGTGCAGATTTTCAGTCAGTTTGGCAACGAGATGGTTGAGTTCGCTCACCTGACAGGAGACAGACAGAATGTGAGTAGCAATTCATTTATGAGATTCCATTCCATTTTTAATTAAGTCTTAGTTAAGCATCTGTAGGAAGAAACTAAACGTTAAAGTTTAGTTTCCTCATGCAAATGCTCTGCACCAAACTGCACTTTTCATTAATTCATATCCCAGAGATAAGGTGGTAACTCTGGACTTTGAAATCTGCAGCTTCTGCACAATGAAGTGTAGCAAATCCTGAAAAAGTCAATGTCACAACCTTGAAATATTTAGATATTTCAAAAATATCTAAATAAAAAAGGATTGTTCAGACCTTGCTTTTTTTTTCTGAAACGCATAAATCCATATTTATTTGCCTCACCAGCCTTCAGCAGCAAAGCACAGGTCAGTTGTGACTCATTCTCCTCGAAGACTATTTACCTCCTTATTCTGTATTGTTACAAGCTGTACGGCACCTTCTGTTAGCTGTCTTCAGGCCATTTACAAAACAAAACATTCAGTCCAAGCCCCAGAAACGCTTTTCAACTTTCTGGGTTCTAAACTTTATTTTGCCAGAGGACTGCTAATCCTACTTTGATGCATACATTCAGCCCCTGCAGCCTAAGCGCTTTGCCTGCAGAAGTCGATGTGAAACACAGCAGCAGCGATGTTCACACTGAGAGGGTGGATCCAACATCTGTCTGTCTGAATTTCATGACCGGCTCAGGTTTTGATACGCACATCACGTCGCTGCTAATGCTTCCCCTCATCATTTGACACTTTTTTGTCATATTTACTCCTACTCATGCACTCCCCGTTTTCACACAGGAAATAGCATGTCCCTTTTTTAAATAAAAGAGAACATCCTTAGCTATTGAAAACAGATGAGCAAAGAGGCAAACATAATGACAGATAATCACACCGTCTTTGTAATATGTGGCAAAGTGCCTGCAGAGGAGTTGGTTCAGCTGCATCTTTAGAATTTAATCTGCATATCTCTATGTAGAAGACATGCAGAGTGATATAAACAGATCTCCTTTTTATATGCCAGTATTGTTTCTTTTGTGTAAAGATCAACCCACAAAGTTGCACATCTGTAACCTGCCGCCAAATCCAGATTATACCTGGGTGACTGAGCAGGATACTTTTTATGCTTCGTGTCCCTCAGACAGAGTTGTTAAAAAGTCTTCACCGAAAGAAAAGACATTATGTTTTCATTATGTTTGTGTGTGGTTGTGGTGTAGGACTTGAAAGATGAGAAGAAAAAGGCGAGAATGGCAGCAGCCCGAGCAGTGCTGGAGAAATGCACCATGATGCTCCTCACAGCCTCTAAGGTATAAGTGGCCTCAGATCGTTTGTCCTTGTTCATGTCCACCTTAAAAATTGAAGCCTCTCACGCCTTTTCCAACTTCCAAAATGCTTGAATCTGTGCAGTAATTGCATCAAAACACATTAACTAAAAGAGAAACGAATAAGAGAGAAGATTAGGTTGCAGGGGTTGACATTTCACATCCAACTCCCTCCGTAGACTTGCCTGAGGCATCCGGACTGTGAGTCAGCGAGGATCAACAAAGACGCCGTGTTCCACCGAATGCGCTGTGCCCTGGAGCAAGTCATCGAGATAGTCACAGAGGCACGGACCTGTGGGGAGAACAAGGTCCTGCCTACAAGTATCTACAACACCATCAAAGACTTCAAGGTACAAATTCATTTTGTTTAACACATATCTGCCTGCCTGTAAAATAAAGTCTGGAGATTACTCAGTGTCTCATAAATGTCTTTATATCCATTTAACTTTTTCCATTTTTGGCTTTTATGTTCCCACCTTTGCTATGTCACTCTTAAATAAAGTCTGTGCAGCCCATTAAAATAGCATAAGAACACCTCAGACACTTGTTGTATAATGCTAGAGATTCAAAAAATCATGGCAACCAATGAACACAACTGATGAGTCAGGGATAACGTTAAAAAGCATAGGTTGTAAAACAATATCCCAAGTTTTCAACATCAAACAGAAAACTGTTATCTGAAAATAGAAATGGTGCAACTGCAAACCTAACAAGATAAAGCTGTCAACCTGCGGTTGACAGGGTGTCCAAGGAAAGGCAAGGCAAGGCAAGGCAAATTTATTTGTATAGCACAATTCAGTACAAAGACAATGCAAAGTGCTTTACATGATTAAAATAAAACAGAATCAAAGCAAGTAGGGAAAAAAAATGCAGAAACAAGAAAGAACATTAAAAACAGTTGGACTAAAAAAAAAAAGAATTGAACTAATGATGTTTCAGTTGAACTTTTTAACTAGAACAGTCAAAGGCAATCCTAAACAAGTATGTATTTAGTCTTGATTTAAAGGAACTCAGGCTTTCCGCACGATAAGGGAAGCAACCAAGTGGCCCGTTCTGATGCTGGAAGAGCTGCTGAGATCCAGAGTTCAGATGGGAGAATGTGTCAGCAGGAGATTTAGTAGTCCTTTATGAATGAGTAAAATAAAGCTTTTGAGGAATAAATACCGTTAGAGGTTCTGTTTAAACTTCACCACAAGCCATAGGATCCTGGAAGGAAACATGTTAGGTCGCATTGGAGAATCCCCTTCAGCAGCACAACAATGTTAAACACACAGTGCCAGAGCTTCCATTAAGTTGCTGAGATTTCTTGACCTATGTTACAAAGAAAAAGTAAAACTATAAGTGTAAAGATGCAAAACAACCTATAGAGACATACCCTAAAGGACCTCCATAAAAAAAAAAACTTTTTTAGCACAGAATTTTAATCGAATTCTTGCCATAAATTAAATTTTTTAAACATTTTATGAGCTAAAATCCCTGTAAAATGCATTCTAATCTGTGAATGGAAGGTTGCAAAATATGAAAATATTAAAGCTGACCGAGACTGCAGAATAACAGCTCCTGTATTTATTGCGTCTGCCTGAGCAGAAGCATCAGAACTGTAAAGCACACATTCTTCACTTTGTAGTTCTGTCATTACAGTTGTGCAAATCAACATAAACCCCTTCATCACTCTCATTAATCTGCTCTTTCTGCTCACAGAAGAAAGAGCCTGCATAAAAGCACTTTGAGGGCTTCTCCTAAAGAGAAAAAGAAGAAAGTATTTTAATGACAGGCCTAGGACGGCAGTTGCTTATAATTCAGTTCTCACAGCGTTTTAATGGGTGACTTTAGTAAAAAGTTATGTAAACTGATGATCATTCAGCATGTAAGCAGGTGCTCTTAAAGTCATCTTTTTTGAAAAAAAAAATGTATTTCTTTTGTTAAGGGGGCGGGGGGAAGAAAAAAATGCATTAGCTTGGTTCTTGCTTTTACAGTAATTATGAGAAAAGTAAAAGGGTTGAATCTCTTCCCCTCAATATATGGGTTTAAGAAAGTGTTTTTCCTTGCTAATATCTGACTCAAATGCTCTCTTCTATATGAACCCTGCTCCCCACCCTGCAGTGTAGTGTGGAGTGCCTTCGAGAGAACCTGCAGTCTTCAACACCGCAGATCATGGCCGGTCAGCTGGAGGCCCTGGTGGAGCGCACAGAGCACTTTACCGATTCACCCTATACCAGTCACGAGCAGCGGCAGGCCATTCTCGGCATGTGCCAGCTGGCCCGCCAGGACACCCAACAGCTGGTGCACGCCTGGATTGAGGCGGTACGTTGGCTTACAACAATAGCTGTAGATATGTTTTAAAATGAACATAAAATCTGAGGGAGGGAGACAATTTCTTGTCTGTAATACGTTTGTATAATTATTAATTAGAAGGAAAAATGTTTTCAATGGAAGGAAAGGGGATCTTAATAAAAACTTGATAAAAAGATTTAATTTAAGTTGGCAAACAGAATCAGTCAGATGGTGCAAAGGTGTTTAAATTTTTTCTCACGCTAAAAGGTTTGCTGCAGTTCTTGAACAGCAAGCTTTAGATACACTTTTTATATCTCCCAGCTATGCCTGTTAGCAAGATTTGTCTGCACCATCAACACTAAGTCAAATTCCTTGTAAGTGCAAACCTACTTGGCAATAAACATTTTTCTGCTTCTGTAGATTAACTAAGGGGTCAAGTATTTTTTTTGTTTTTTCTGTTAATGTAAAATTGTATTTACTGCCCTCATTTTCAATGACTAACATTGAGCGAGTTTCATTTCCAGACTGAAGTAGATAAACAAATATCTGCCTCTCTTGAAATGTTTTCCCTTAACTTTCCCATTTTCAAGAGAGACTAATAGGAAATGCACCTCAACATCCCACTACAGTCCATTATACGGAAAAAAAATCAAACGGATAGCTGAGTATCAAAAGATGCTGGTAATGTAATGTTTGGCTCTTAGTTTTTTCTTCATTTTTGTGTTTCTTTCACAGTTAAAATGTTTCAGTTAATCAGATAAATTTTGTCATCAAAGATAAACAGACTACCTACTAAACCAGTTGACAGAGAATGATTTCATGTAGGCAAACAAGACGATCCAAACCAACCTGGCTGTCTGTGGAAAATGGTCAGATCCCAATCATCCTTATTAACCAAGTCTGTGTGCACAATCAAGGAAATTGAATTTGATTCAAATTTCTTATTTTTACACATGAACTTGGCCAAAAAATGCAACTGCAATCCTCTCTTATTTATATATCTTATTTATAAATCTCTTATTATTTTGCCACTAATTTTCACAGGGTCATTTTTACCAGTATGTAAACATACAGGATTTAAACTATATAAATATTAGGAATTTTATTTTCAGGGGACTGCAATTTTATGTGTATTTTTACTTTTAAAAACCTCATTACAGCTTTGCAGGTTCTTATACTGAAAGATGTGTTTCATTATTTAGCATAGCCGATTCTGACAGCTGTGTGGTGCTAGGCTGGCTGTAGAAGCAGAAGTTAAAAGTAGTGCATCAGGTATCCTGCCCAGAATTAGTTTGTCCAGTGTTGCTCAGCACGCTTCAGTTCCTCTTAACTACGCAAGGCAGTAAGTCATTTTACTTTTATTGACAGGTTAATAATTTGATTTGGTACTTTGTTATGTGGGTCGTATGAAACAAATCCCAAATGTAACAAAAAAAAAAAAAAACAATGAATAAAGTTAAGGTTGAAGTTTTTGGTAAGTTTGGAAAATCTAGATTCAAGTCATTTTTATTCTCTGAATGCAGGTTGAACTAATTCCCTCTGTGATAACTAAAATTGGGCTCTCTTAACTTGAGGCCGGAGGGTTATTGTTTGTGGTCATGCACCATTTTCTGCATGATATAATCCTATCAAGTATTGCCCTGAGCCATCAGGTCGCTTAGGTAACACCACACTGTTCAATACAATACAAAAACATGGTGGAGCACACTCTTCCTGGGATTACTCTTTGTTGGTATTTGCACATTCTTCTTCTAGTTAGTGGACTGGGAATGGAATATAGGTAAATTATATTTAAAATGTGTATAATTCCAGGAGATTTAGTATATTAGAACAAGTTCCAATTGATTCTCAGTGCCCAAACCTAATTATGAACACTGTTTTACACTGTTTGTAAGTCGACTAACACCACAAGTCATCAACAGATAATAGATTAACTGTACTGGGAAGGAGTTTATTTCCCAAGACAGAAGAGTGTGATTGTGTTGTGGTTACATTTGGGCCAGCATTACAAAGTGCTGCTTCAACATATGACCTTAGCTCCTACCCTAACTACCAATGGAGAAGTGCAACAAAGGAAGGAAATCAATGATTACAATTGAAATGTGTGTTTATGAATAATCTGCAGTCTAAGCAGATTAGATCCAATGGTACATTTTGCTCAAAAAAATACCCAAATACCTCTTAATAGGGATTTCTTTTCCAGCCCTCGTATTAATTGTGTTCAAACTTAAGATCTTTCAGAATTTTTTTTTGGTTTAAGAAGTGGCTTCTACATTGATAGATGGATGCGTCGTATTTCAGGGATGCAGAAGTCACGTGCTATGTTAAAAAATATTCAGAACTCAATCCTAACCCTCCGTTTTGGAAACATCTCACATCTTCCATAATCTACCAATAAATTAACATGATGATGTTGTCTATATAGTCCTCCTGTCGATAACTCACAGTAATGTGGATATAACAAGGCCTCTTTCTGTGTTGTTGTTGACATTACACAGGGATAATAAGCTGCAGAGTTGATGCACATGTTGAACCATAATGAGTTTTCTATCAGCTAGGAAGCTGAGGATTCAGAGTGTTTCTGGGAGACGAGAAGAAAAGCAAGCCTTGCACACCTCAGGGCTTTAGGAATGGAAAATTCAAGCTGTTTCTAGAAACAAATATTTTACGTACTCAGAGGTGCTTATATACATTTTGCAGTAATCAACACAGGGTTCCTAAAGACTGCAAAAGTCTAGTTTGGTATTGAAGGGGTTTAAGTTTCCCGGTTTATTTTTTATTTTTTTCCTATTTCAAGATCAAGTTGATGTATGCAGTATGTAGATTATTTACTTATATAAAAATGATGTTTTTTTTCTTCTTCTACACTTTAGTCATTTTGGTTTTTTACTTATTGTAATAACCAACAGATAAAACCACAGTTATTCACAAATCAAAATTAGTATAATTTTTTTGGCTGCTAACTTCTATTAGATTAGAGGTTTGAAGTGGAAATCTTTTATATCTTTTGTCTTGTATCGACCACATACATAATTTATCGTACTGTTCTGGTGTTATACCTAAGTTAATCCATTTTTATCAAGCTAAACCAGTATTTTATTCTGTGGCAGATCTCTGTCCGTGCAGCCTGCTGATGGAAATCACCAGAAAAAGAGCATCCTTTCACACTCTTCATTTGGCTCATTGCTTTTTTTTCTACCATCGCTCCTGGAACCACAGGGCATGATAACTCACCTGAATAATGTTTTTTTATTCCCAAAGCTCAGTCTGCCAACATGGAAACATGATATACTCTTCTGTTGCATTCAGCAGGAGCCTCCTTGGCCTTGAAAAAGCAATATGCTTGAAAAAGGTTGTGAGCTCCTATGCTTATTTTCTCTGTCAACATTTTACAGTCTGCAAAGTGAGCCTGCAGCTGCATAATTGTACTGTAGTGCCTCATCTAATCCTCACAATTGAAGGTCGTGTGGAGACTTGAAAAGTCTCCAGGTTTTGCAGCGCTTATATGATAGGACAGCATTTTTCAAATAATTATTCTGCCCAGGTTTTAGATGGTCAATGATGGTGTTAGCTTCCGTTATTTACTCTAAAATTTAAATATTTATATAGCATTTGTGGGTTATATAATTTGGTTTTATTGTACACAATTACAAAAAAAAAAAAATCCTTCAGGCCTTTTGCATCTTCACCAGATTGCTCACAAATGTCACAAAAAAAGGTCTGCCATTTCATTATATTTGTATTGCTCTCTTAGATTAACATGCAGGTAACCCTGTTTGTGTTTGTGGCACATGTTTATCCTTTTTTCTGTCTATCATCACAGCAGCAGTCTGTACATGCCAAAGAGGCCACAGAAGAGCTGGAGGTGGCAATCCTGAAGACCTGCCAGAGCATCAGTGACCTGAAACGAGAGGTGAGCCGCAGTCTGTCTCCAGAGCTAAAGAACTTCCCAAACAGAGACGTGAGCTGTTCAGCACCTGTAGCTCGGCTTTCTCCTTTTAATATTTCCACACTTCACCTCATCTGCTCCTGTCAACTCCATTTGTCACTTCTGCCAATCTCTGTCTCGGGCCTTGCTTAAAACACCAGCAAGTCGACTTCATCATGCAAAATCATTCATCCCTTTTTCTCTCCCTCCCCCTCCACAAGCTCCATAAGGTCGCAGTGGTCCGTGCCTCCGACTTGCTGAAAGCTCACGCCGAGCATCTGCCTCTGAGGGCCCTCAAAGCCGCTGGTGCCGAAGGGAACCTGGAGGCAGTGGCGGAGTATTCGCGGACGCTCACTGAGCAGAAGGAGCAGCTGGTAGAGGTGGGTGGTTTTCAGCAGCATAGGGGAAACTTTCACAGAAGTCAGTAGTATATTTTTCTTACTCATTGCTTTGATTCTATAAGAATATGTATAAGATTTTTTGTTAGGTCCTGAAACTCCAAACATAAGTACATACAGATATATTCTCCACATTTATTGTCCTTCCTTGTAAAAATAAATGCATAAAATAATCAAATCCGCCTGTTTCTCTTAAGTATAATATATTTTTCATAAACTCGGCAGTACACCAAACTAATAATATCCTTAAACACTTTCGGAAAGATAAATGCATCTGAAACATTTTTTGTCTTTGTGTTGATTGCATTGCACACAATTTATCATTCACAGTTTTTAAATTGTAACATAGTTAGAATTTCTTTCAGTCTCATTTACATGTAGTTACAATGAACTAAACTGCTTACGTTCTTTTTTTATACAGCTTCAGAACTGAAATAGTGTTTACATACAGTGACTGTAATTTACCAATAAATGACACAAATGAAGAGTTTATCAGTTGTAGTTGTGTTTCCAGACCTGCAGGCTACTGTGCCATGTGTCGGGGACGGAGCCTTTAGAGATTACCTGCATACATGCAGAGGAGACCTTTCATGTCATTGGTCCACAGGTAGTGTAACACATTTTTCTACACATAATGCTGCTTTTATACATTTTAACTTCACATTTGGTTTTAGAAAGAGTAGACTGTAATTTGTTTTTCTACCTTTAAAAACAACTATTAATTATTACTTATTTCAGTTTTTCCTTGGATGATATGCTCAAATGGTTACTTTTGAAATGAAATGCGATGGTGATAGGGAAAAGAAGCTGAGATATTTTCCATCTCCATCCAATACCTTCTCCGCCTCGAATCCGTTTACACTGCGCTGTTCACCCGTTCCGTATCTAATTATATTTGCTCTTGAAAACCACTTGTGGCAGTAATTATCCAGCAGTATGTAATGTTCCTGTCCCATGGTGCTAATGTCAGGCCCCACGCGACACTACCGTAATGACTCAGCTACTAAGTTCAAGGGTCTTATAATCAATAATGCTGTAGTACAGGCTATTGCTGGTGATATCTCTGTCTGTGTCTGTAGAGTCTAATGCAGGGGTGGCCCACAGGGTAATTTGCAATTAGATACAAAACAGTAGGTGACGGATGTGTGGGATGTGTGCAGATTATGGGTGTAACTATACGTGCAGCTAGGGAGACGTGACGGTGCACATTATGGGCTCAGGAGAATGAGATGAGATTTTAATATTGGGAAATAAGAATCTCAAGTTTTGTGTTTATTTGTTAGTTGTTTCTTCAGGGTTGGGCCAAGGTTGTTTTGGGGTTTTAACTAGAGCCTGATACAAACATTGCCACCACTATATGCAATTACATACAGATTTGGTGGAATAAATAAACAATAATGGATAATTGTTTTTTGTTTTTTGTTTTTCTGAGAGGTAATTGAGAACAAACTGAGCACAGGTCAGAATAAACCCCAGGCATCAGATGCTACTATATCACCACACAAATCACACAATTAACAATAGTTTTTACACTTTTTAAAAGTAAAAATGCAGTTTTCTTTAAATCTTAGATTTATAATTAGATTGACTAACAATTCTTTAATATATGTATTATTAAAACATCAAATAAAATGTAACAGAAGCTAATAGATCAGGGCCTCTAAGGAGCAGTTAAGTATTGTTATGCCTCAAGCCAGCTCTGGGTTTTCCAAATCATAACATTTATTTTAATGATTACCAAATGTACATATGTCATGGCTCAAAACTCACGACTCAGAATTTGAAGCAGACACACCAGTGTGATTCAAAAAAACATTTATTGGCGTATGTCGGATCTGCAACTCAGCAACAAAGGCGTCAAAGACCAGAATCTCTGTAGAGGGAAAACTCAGATTAGTGACCACAAAAATCTGATGGAGGGCAATTAAGAGGGTGTGAGTCACTATCCTGGTTTTAGAGTCCAGTCTGTGTCCAGAAGAAGGAGTAGAATCCAATGGCTAAAAACTGCATGTGGTGTACGCCACCCAGAGAGTTCTGGAAGCAAGAGCCTGAAGCCCATTGAACTGGCTGATGAGCAGATCCAAACAGACGAAGGAAGGCAGGAGATTTCAGAAGATGAAGCCCAGGCCGGTGTCGAAAAGGTTAACAGGAGTCCATGCCAGAACATCAGAGATCCGAAGAGGTGCTGAGGGGAAATCTAAGGCGAGGTCAGAAGACAGATCCAGGTTCAGTCCACTGGCAGAAACCAACATAAGTCCGGAGACAGATCAGGCAGACAAATCCAAAACAGGAACAGCAAGGCTCAAAGGTCCAAGAACAGAAGTGGTCAGGATCAGGCAATCACAACAATAGGTACGCTAGAAAACTCAAACAAAAAGGCTGGAACAGTCGGGCATCACTGACTGTGAGCCAGCAGATTAAATAACGGCAGGAGCAGGTGTATACAATGAGCAGTGATTACAAACTGGGCGGAGCAAGACAGGTGAATGGAATAACCCATTAAACCAGTCATTTGTGCCAACATCATGACAACATAAAATATATGAATGATCTAAAGATTTAAGATTTGAATCTATAGTTGTATATCTTTGTCAAATTCGATTTTTGTCTACCACCAATATTGCAATATACTAGGTACCTAAAATAAAGCCAGTGTGCTGGGAGCTTCTTTGGTGCTAAAATAGTGTTTGGGGTTAGAATATGCTTCGAGAGAAAAAGACCTTTAGATTGAAATTAAATCATCTGCAGCATTTTCATAATGCAAATTTTGTGGCATATGGTAGGCTATTGTCAGACCCAGAAAAATGCATCAGGGTAGCAGACATTTCTGTACAATGTCAAATCTTTCAGATATATATTTCCTGCATTGTGCTAGCTTAGTTTTTTTTATACTTCTTATGTCTTCTTGATGACCAGGTAAGTCTTAAGTTTTGACTCTTACTTGGCAGATAGGGATCTCTGGATTTTGTAAACTCTGACCACAAAATACTAATTGGTCCATCTAGACGTCTACTTAAAGAGTAATATATCTGATGACATAAGAGTTAATAATAAAAAAAAGTATCATTCCATCTTGCCTTGAACTATGATGATTTCAAAAACTGAACAAAGAAAATCAACTGCAGTAAAAATTTTGCAAAAAAAACCTACTCATTTAGACAAATATTAGAATTTACACATTTGTTCAAATGTGATCAGTTTACGATCTGATTTCTTTCTTTCTTTTCTTAGATCATCTCAGCTGCCCAGACGTTGGCCGTTCATCCATCTAGTAAAATTGCAAAAGAAAACCTGGAGGTGTTCTGTGAGGCCTGGGACTCACAGCTCTGTGACATGGCTCTGCTGCTGAAAGAGATCAACAATGTCTTTGAAGGAAGACGAGGTAAGTTTATGTTCATCATCAGTTTGAAACTCAACAAATGTGCCGCTTGCTATGTCCTTCAGGCACCAGATACCTGCCTATAAATGCTCTAAATAAATGATTCAATTCTTAAATCTCAACATCTTGATCTATAGTTGATTGACCTTTGTCTATCTTTCTTATCTACTAGTTTTATCCATGGGTTGCACCTTTGACTAAATCTGTTCACTACAACCAACGGCGTTGCAGTTAGATTCTCTCTTTGCTTAAAAGAAAAAAAATATGTCAAAGTCCAGATGAATCATTTTTGCCCTTGAGATCTTTCAGAAATGTTATAGAAAGTTAAAGCATTCTGAGCAAAATGAACATAGCTTTTCAATATGAATCATCACATGATTCAGTTTAATTCATTTTATTTATACAGTGCCTATTCACAACACAAGTCATCTCAAGGCGCTTTACAAAGCCACTTCTATCAAAACACACAGCCAGTTTGGCTGATGCAGGAAGTACTTTGCATCAAAGCTGTAACCATTGCCCATAAATCTCCTATCCATTCGTCTCTTCTCTGCATATCTATATTTTTTGTTCTGGATTTCATCTGCATCACCTAAACCACACATAAGTTCTAAAGTCAAATCTTTTCTTCTTTATGGTGCTAAAAAGTCTAGTCCACTTTTCTTTGGTTTTTACTTTTTTTTTTTTTTTTAACAATTAAATGTTTTAGATGATTAAATAAATGTTAATGTCAGTGAAATCTAAAGAAGGTCAAATACTGACAGTCCTTCTGACCCTAAAGCTGCAAATCTACCTAAATGCTGTGTTTTGTAGCAGGAGGCACAACTTGCAGAAGGTGTAGTATTTTACTCATCAATCCGTTTTTTTCCCCCAACATTGTTCTTCATTATGCTTTTTAAGTATTATTATTGTTTAATTTTCTTTTTTATTATTCATATTTTTGTTGAAAGTGTTTTTATTTGTTTTGTAACAAAAACAAACTTATTTAACTTGAGCTTTACTGAGCCACATAAGGCCTGCAGTGCTTCACCCCCATAGGGTTCTGTTTGCACTTCATGGATGAGTCGGCGAAGTGCTGATGGAGGGATGCTCTCTCAATTAAGGATCAAAGCTTTCATTGTTGTTTTATTGGGTCCAAATTTCTTGGACCCTTCCTTGGCTGATAAATGTTAATGACTTTATTTCTTATCTGTTCTTAAAAGTCTTAAGTAGCGGATATAATGCATATTTAAAAAAAAAAAAAACATTAGCTTACTTATTGTTGTCTACCAATCTACCCTCTAATAGGGTGGATGGTAATTACATTTAAATGTGGCTTGTAAATAAACAAAAATACAATAAATCATAGTTTTCCGTTTAATTTAAACAGGGTCATTACATTTTTTTTTTTACAAAGGGCAAGGTTAGTTTGACTGCTATTTTCCTCTTAAAGGAATAGTACACCCAAAACATGATTAGCCTTCATTTTCTACTCACCTCCATGCTGAACAACACTCTGGAGTACTTTTTTGATATCTCAAATGCATCTGGAGATCTGGGAGGCTTCTTGCTGTCTGCTGACATTCAAATAATGGAGGTCCATGGCGCCCGAGACAGAAAGGTCCATAAAAGTCCACAAAAACGTGTCAATATTCCTCCATACTGCTCGTCCAATGTAATCCAAGTGTCCTGAGTGGGTAGCATCCAGAATTTACTCGAAACGAAGTCATTTAGAATGTTTTTAGAGCATAAACAGTAGTGTATAGGATTTCCTAATAGCGCCCCCATGCGCGCTCACGATTCTACGGAAGCCGGCAGACCAAACCAGCGCATTCAGCTCGGCAAAGAACTCATGCTCTTCCTCAACACTGAAGTCCTCAGACATTTTTCTTTCGTTGTTTCTTTCTTTGCACAGGTAAACAGCACATTTCTTCTTCTACGCTTGCATTATCGGCAGACCAGACGCTGAATGCGCACTTTCTTCCGGTTTGGTCTGCCGGCTTCCGTAGAATCGTGAGCGCGCATGGGGGCGCTATTAGGAAATCCTATACACTACTGTTTATGCTCTAAAAACATTCTAAATGACTTCGTTTCGAGTAAATTCTGGATGCTACCCACTCAGGACACTTGGATTACATTGGACGAGCAGTATGGAGGAATATTGACACGTTTTTGTGGACTTTTATGGACCTTTCTGTCTCGGGCGCCATGGACCTCCATTATTTGAATGTCAGCAGACAGCAAGAAGCCTCCCAGATCTCCAGATGCATTTGAGATATCAAAAAAATACTCCAGAGTGTTGTTCAGCATGGAGGTGAGTAGAAAATGAAGGCTAATCATGTTTTGGGTGTACTATTCCTTTAATAAGAGTCATTATAAATGCTTTCTGGATTTACTGTAATTACTATGTATTTACTGTATTTTTGTATTCTGATTATATTTGTTCTGTCTCTTATAATCATTTCTGTAATTGTATAAAACAAGGGATAAAAAAGAATCTGTATATGCATCAAAAATACGTCTGTTGCACTGTATAAATATATTGAAACCTGCACATAAAACTATAGGCACAAGAAGCATGATTATGTTATGCCTTGAAATGTGGTGAGAGTTTTGACATGAATTATGCTATATTATTTGACCTCTGCCCCAGACGTGTCAATGATCATGTCCATCATGAAGCCAGAATTGTGTCTTTAAAGGTTTAATGGATGCTATAAAGATTTTTTTTCCTGTTGGTTTTATTACAAAGTTGGCTATAAACTTTATTAAGCTGGATAGAAATATAAAAGATAGTGATACAAATATATTAGATTTCATCTATATAGTTATATCTGTAAAAGTTTCTTTATCACACACTGCAGTCTTCTGTAAAAATGAGGACATAAGATAACATTATATCTCCTCTTCCAGGTGACAAAAAGCCGTATTTGTCTTTACCAAGACCAGGGGTGTGTATCACATTATCCATCCTCAAAAATGTTACATATATGCAGTTCTTTGTTGCCTTTTGATACATAATATATTTTTTTTTCCCCCACAGAAACACTCAACTAACTTGAAGAATGCAAAGGCTGTCAAGCTGGATGCAGAGGTAGCACTTACTGCATGCTACAATTAATCACATGATGTCTGTATTTTAGCAGAAGTATTTTCACCACCAGGAGGGCTTTTTCTCATTCTCTTGGAGATGAGTGATGTTTCTTTCATAATATGCAGTGATTTTGCCTTTCTTCATTTTAACAGAGGAAGCCCCAGTGAGTTTATCAGAGGCCATCTAAGTGTCCAAACAAGTGTGAATGTGTTTTTCCACATCAACCTCCATTACACTGTTTATATCTCTGTTGGTGCAGGAGCAGACGAGCATGGCCAAGCTTGGACTGGAGCTCCGACTGCTCTCGTCTGATGTGGACTCCGAGGTGGATAAATGGGAGGAGCAGGAACACGACATTGTGCGGCAGAGCCAAAGCCTCGCCAGCATGGCATACAACATGTACCTGTTCACAAGGTACCGCAAATTTCACATGTACAGTATGCAGCAGTTTGCACAATTATTGGGATCTCTAGAAAAGATGTCTGTAAAAAAAAAACTTCTAATGTGGTAGTGCAGTAAATCTGAAAAATCCAGTTCCTTGGTAAAGGTGTTTTTTTTTTTTTTTTTTAGTAGGACAAACAAAGCATATTTATGAAAGCATTTTTTTTTTATATAATTAGTGTTACATTAGTTGGTCCAATCTAACAATTGTTAAAAGGGAGATTAGCTTGGACACTTTTTATCAAATGTATGCTTGTTTCTGTTAAAGTAATCAGAGTGTATTGACATCATTGCTTTCAGTGCTTTTTACCATAATCAGGGGCGGATTTAGGAAATTTGGGGCCCTAGGCAAAGACAGTCAGGGGGCCCTCTGAATCAAGAAGACAACACATAAAACAGAAAATTTATACAGATACAGAAATTTTAATAGAATCGACATACATTATTTGTTCTATGTTTTCTCCCTCTCTTCTTGTCTCTTTTCTTGTTTTCCTCTCTTTGTTTTGTACTCAGCTGACTTTTCATGCTGTCTCAAAAGGAATTTTTCCAAGCAATAAGCTCACTTATCTAATTGCTCCTTCCTGTGTATCCAAAAAGGCAATGGTAAAAGTAAATAAAACATTCTTTCTTTTCACTGTAAACAAGACACAATCTGCTTATCTGTTCTCCATTCTTCATTCGTATAAAATAATAGCTGCATGAATCATGGCAGCAGACAAGAGAGAGGAGAGCAGGAGGCGGGGTTACCAATCTACTTGTTCTGGAGATCAGTTAAGACACACTTAATATTATAGGCATTCTGATGGCATTTTACTGACAGGATTTTTATCAAAAACATCATTAATGTGCACAAATAAGGAATAGTTGTATTAACCATACATATAAACAGAGCTTTTTTGTGGCCCCCAGGAACTTTGGGCCCTAGACGACTGCCTAGTATTGCCTAATGGTAAATCTCCCCCGTTTCTAAAATCCCTATTTTAAAAATATGATAGTATTAAGTCTTGTTTATTGACTAGGTTGACAGAGATTTGTCGAGGAGGCTGCACACTATCTGGTGCACAGCGTCAGAGGGCATGAAGCTACAGGACACTGATTTCCGTCCAGGAAAAAAAAACAGCACATCAAAAGCCAACCATGCATTTTAAAGACATTTCAGGACTCCTTTCGATAATATCCTTTATTCCTCACATTAAGACCCATGTAATGACATACTTAAATCCACCAGCATAGATAGGAAACAGTAGCTATTTTCATATGAGCAAAATTTCCCTAGTCTGATCTTAACCTTCGTTGATTGAAATTCAAAATCTCTTTTTACGTGGACACTAAATAAAATTATCCGATCAGATTAGATTATTTAAGCAAGTTCAGAACTGTCTAATTTCCATAAAAGCTTAAGTAGTAGATGAAGAAGACGAAGAAGTGCTTGTCCATTCATCCTCAAGTTTAGCTCCTCTTTGTGCCTTCACCTCACATTCCATTTTCTTCACTTCTTCAGTCATGTCTGTTGATGTATTTCTTTTCCATTATGGAGCTTTGTTGCATCTTTGTATCCATACTTTGTTTTTGGTGGTCCTTTTAGACCACCAAAAACATTTCCCCCTGTAGCTCCTACACAGCGTTAGAGGGCAGGATGGCATGGTCATCCCCACATTATCTTTAGTGTCATCCCCTCCAGTGAATGAAGATTAGGAGCAAAGAGGAAAAACACCAAGCTGAAGTTGCACACGTGCACAGTGGACATTATTTTACTACAAAGATCCTAATAGGGGTGTATGTGGACGGCAGTTGGAAAAAACTCCTCTTTCTTTCAGAAATTTATTATATTTCCGATCTTTCCGAATCGGATTAGGATCAGGCCTTAATTTGAATATTGGTTTCCATGTGAATTTAGCTACGGTGGTCATAGCTTTAGGCTTATTTGACCTTTGGCAGAGATGGAGAATCTGGAGTCAACAAGTCAGTTCTATGTCATGTTTTTGTTCTACCCAGCCACTGAACCTGGTGAGTTCAATTTACATAGATAAACCAGATTGGAATCACCTGGCTCAGTGGCTGGGTAGAACATAAACATGACATAGAAATGACTTGCTGACTCCAGATCCCCCATCTCTGGATTGAGGCACATTCTTCCTTTAAAGGTTCTTCTATTTTGTGTTTAAAACAAATATTTATTGACTTTTGACATATTTCCATGTTGAGACTTTCTGGTAATACACAAAAACATAATTTTCTGTTAATGTAATGATATTACAGCAGGAGCTGAATCCATTCTAATCTGTTGTTTAAATATATTATTCATATATTTTTGGTGGAAATCAAGAAGGGTGGGGCTGGTTCTGGAGTTTGCTGAGCAGGTTCTATCATTTCCAAGCTGTACATTGTAAAAACTCCTCTAAGCAGTCACATGAATCTCTTTAGAGGCTTAGTGTTAATGAGATTCTCAAGCCCCAAGGTATCAATATTTACAAAGAATACATTGAGGATTGGAAAATGTTCGCACATTATTAGCATTGTAGTGATTTGTTTACACTTTTTGTTGATGTCACTGAATGCAGTTTGTCCTTGTCCGTCTTCCTGATCAATGTTATTATTTTCATTAATGATTCCCCAGAGGGGAGGGGCTGTTGAAGACAACACTGGATCTTTTTCATCAAGCTGAGGTAATAACATCCACATCCTCTAATCTCCCCCAGCTCCCCTCTCTTTCCTATTTTCGTATTTCACCCCCCCCTCAATTTATTGAAGTTTTAGATGAATGCATGTGTTGTTCCACCAAACTAAAACCAAAGATCAATAGGTCAGCAGATGCATAGCTTTTTATCCATTAACCCTTTTTCAGATCTGACAGCAGATTACAAAACGATATCAGTGTTGCTGGAAATGTGATGGAGAAGCTTCCTGGTTGTGGCGGATAGACGGGATACAGCTCTGTGAGAGGCTGTATCATATTGAGCTTAGATCATCCCCTGTAACGTAGAGTCATTTGTAAAAATAACAGGACAATATATCACATGGGATTAATTCAGTTTGGAATGAAAAAAACATTACAAAAAGGAAAAATGAGGAAGGAAAGGAATGCATACAGATAAGAAAAACGAATCTGTTTAAAATGCAGCAAATGGTGCTAATATTGAAACAGTTTTTTGGGGAAAAGTACATAAATTTATTATTTTCTTCCATGTTTTTAACTTATTTTTAAGGTTCTGTCTGAAGAGGGGCTTCAGCTTTGTTCATCTCTGCGCACATTTTCCTCTCAGGTAAATATGAGTTCATATTTTCCACTTGATCCTTAGGCACACTATTAAATGGTAATTATTAGCTATCATCTAATTTCTCATCATTTGCTCTATAAAATAATATTTTTCTTAAATAGATGTACATTATTGTCACTTTATCTATCTATAAAACTTAAATTAAGTACTATATATTATAGTATATTAAAGAAACTCAGCACTTTTCACATTTATTGCAGCTTGAAACATCATACCCCTCTTTTTCCTCCTTTATTCAATCAGAAAACAATAAGAATCACTGCTGCCAAAATGAGTCTAAAACCCTTTAAATCAGTTGCAACTAGAACATTTTATTTTTGTAATTTCTGTTTTGTAACTTAAAATATTTAATTACTCTCTTGAGGTGAAACTGGCTAATTTCTACTAACCACTCTACAAAAAGGGATAAAAAAGCATCAAAAGTAGATGTGTTGATCTTCATAAGTTCGGGAGAGGTCAACAGAATGGATGTTAGACAAAACTTACCCTTAAAGGAGAATTCCGGTTTTTAACACTTTTAGCCCATTTTCTGTAGTGTCCAGGATGAAATCGAATGATCGACACCAAAATTTTGACAATTGGTCCTGTCTCTGCTTTTTGGCTCATGCAGAATCCCCCCCTGGCTGCTTCAGAATGGCTTCCATAGTGCATGTCCGATAATGTCCTTAAAACAACCTTAAACGTTCTTTTTTTTAAATATGCTACTCACCGGGTCGTCAGCGCTGTTCAATGACGTTCCAAAAAAAGTTTCGTGAAGAAAAACCGTTCCTGTCTTGTTTTATTAAGCATTTTGTAAATCCCAGAACTATTTTTTCCGATACATCACAACCGCTTATAAACTTCCGCTTCCCGTTCGAATCTGAAGCGTTGCACACTCCAGACCACTAGTTGGCGACAATGTCTCTATACTTTGGGAATTTAGGACCACTGTGTAGGACATAGCAATATGTCCTCATCAAGAATCCACCTTTCGTATTCCATTTTCAGAGTTTTTTTAAAGTGTTTAACAGAGACGTTAGCACCTCGACGTCGGAGTACACAGAGTGAAGCGAAAAGACTACAACTAAGTGTAAACAGGCCCCATTTCCGTTTCCGGTGGCGGAGGGATATTGAATATTCCAACAGAACTCAATGGGATTTACAAAATGCTAAATAAAACACTACAGGAACGTTTTTTCTTTACGAAACTTTTTTTGGAACGTCATTGAACAGCGCTGACGACCCGGTGAGTAGCATATTTTAAAAAAAGAACGTTTAAGGTTGTTTTAAGGACATTATCGGACATGCACAATGGAAGCCATTCTGAAGCAGCCAGGGGGGGATTCTGCATGAGCCAAAAAGCAGAGACAGGACCAATTGTCAAAATTTTGGTGTCGATCATTCGATTTCATCCTGGACACTAGAGAAAATGGGCTAAAAGTGTTAAAAACCGGAATTCTCCTTTAACTATGATTAAATTGTTAGTAACAGGTCAAAGGTTTAAAACAGGTAAAGTTAGGCTGCATGACAACCTAGTTTATCTCACCACCATGATGAGTCATTGCAAAGTTAAAAATGTTCCACCCTTTTTCTTGAACTGACATACGGACTTCAGTGTGAGATTGTGGTACTTTAGTGAAAGATGCATGAATTTAAAGCTTAAATAGAAAACCATATACTTATAGTTTCTAGTTTAATAATATGTACAAAATTAAATACATCACAAGTGAAAACATTTCCCGCATTTTGTGGTTTATAGCATAAACAACAAAGATTGTCCGGTTGATTTTTGTCTAACCTATTTACTTTCCAGATCAAAATTTAAAACAAAATCCCTCAGATAATTAACCATCCCTTTTCCCGATCCAAAGCCTTTCCTACAATTGGCAGCAGTACAATAAACCATTGTAATGACTTTTTAACGATCCTTTCAGAGTGCTTAGAAAACGATGCGTGAAGTAGTGGTTCTTAAAACCGGCATGAGGACGTTTGACTACACTGACGTCACAGCTGTGTTTCATCACGTGACTGCTCTCACCGGACTCGTAGATCGCTAGAAACAACCAGCATACTGTAAAATTCTCTCAATTTTTATAACTTGGAGCATTTTTAGCCCGATTTAAACCAGCAACATAGAGAAAAGAAAGGATAATCTACCATCACATACAAGTGCTCTAAACGCACTCCTTTCTATTTGAACTTAAAAGATTTTGCACATCTTTAGTGGGAGCGAAAAAGTAATGGATACGTTAGTGCTTAAAAGCTTTGTTTTTGTTCTCAATGCTGATCGTTAAAACAATTGAGGAAACCAGGTCTTAAATAGTGGGGTTTATAAAGACTTTCTAAAAATGTTTCTTTTTTTTTTTTGACTTCATTTCCAAAACAAAAAGAACAGATAAAAATTGTAACCATGAAAAACTCTAATAATAAAAAGCAGCTGACTAAGTCTCATTCTTATTGAACATATTAAAAAAGGAACTACATGAAATATTATTATCAAACACTTATGAAAGAAGGAAGCTTGATAACTTGAAAATACATGAATTGTTGTCTGTGCAAGATTGTGCTTCTAACCACTCATAGGTTAGGTAGGGATTTGTTTAGTAATGCTAAGAAGGGCATTAACACACTTGTGTTAGTGTGGGCTCAATGTAGCCAATCTAAGCTTTAGAGGGCTGGCTTTCAAAGTAATTAAAACAAAACATAATAACAAAAAAATTATATTTAAAATGATCTTCAGCAGGAGCTTAAGATTAGGGTCATGGCAAGGAGACCTTCAAAACGTTCAGCTAAAAGCTTGAAGCTCATCAAAAGCAGATAATCAAAATAGCTGCAGAAACATGCAGAAGGGTGATCTGTAATTATAGGAAGGCTCCAGTTCCTTTAATTCCAAATATGACTTTGCTATTTATTACAGAAAATAGTATAAATTTAACATCCCATTTTGTATTTTTCTAAAATAAATATAAAAACAGATTTTTTTAGATACGTTTTACTAAAAAAAAAAAATTAATTAACAGATTAATTTATAAATGTTACCTGATTTATTTACGTATTATTAACAGCAAAAGTTGGTAAAGTGAACCTGATTTTATTTCTAAATCTACAATGGATATGATTTTGGGGCTGAGTTGCATAAAACTTTCATCCTCTCTCATAAGTTATTACTTTATCTTTTGATGGCGGTGGAAATCCAGAACAGGTATTACATTTTTCTTTTGGATATTTTAGTTGTAAATCTGTCTTAAACACACACTTATACCAGCTGAAGCTTTTACTGTGAGTATAAGTGTCAAATGTAAGACCCAATCCTTACAAGTCCCAACTAGACAAAAATTTCAACCTTGAATTATATCAAACAATGCATTAAAAAAAAAACAACAAAAAAAAAATCTACATAGATTACTCAATTACTCAGATTACACAATAACATATATAGATTACTTATATTATATGCATAGATACTCAGATTACATGCAATGAATGCAGGTGATACTGGGGTGAGTCCAATTTCACTTTACCTTTAAACTTCATTTCAGAAAACAATAGTGACATTTTTTGAAGCATACTGAAATGTAATAATAAACCTATGTTGAAATGTTTATTCTATTATTTAGCTAAAATAAATATATCCCTGTCAAGCTCTGCAAACATTTATGGTTTTACAAGCAAGAAGTTGACAGAGTGTGTCTTGTTACCAGTGCATTCTAAACAGATAAACGTACAAACAAACGTCATCCTCATTTCACTAATCACACCAATAAAAAACAAAACAAAACAGACTTTGTACTGGCAGCAGCAGAGCAATTACAGCAGAAGATAAATACTGTTGCTTTGAAAAAACACTATTAAAAAAACAGCAAAGTATAGGTAATTCTGACTGAGTTTATCCAGATCTATCCAGCAACCCATACTCAAGATTACAGAGATTACTTGATTATATAGATTAAGCAATTATATAGAGTACTCGATCACTTGAATTACTTGATTACTCATAACACTCGATTAATCAGATTACTTGATACTCAATTACTTGAATACTTCAACACAGGCAAGTGCGTAAAACCCTGTAGTGACATATGTAGCCATACCAGGTGGCAACTTGCTTGTTCATGCTTGATGGCAACTGGCATAGCCACACCTAGTGAGAACTGTTGTGGGAACCTGCGGGGCCACACTTGGTGGCAACTGACACTACCACATCTATTGGCAGCCATCCTTGCCATACCTGGTTGCAACTGGTGTCGCTTCACCTTATGGGGAACAGCGCGACAACACCTGGTAGTGCCTGGCATCTACACACTTGGTGGCAACTGTCATTGCTACACCTAGTGGAGACTGGTGTCATGATAAAGATCCCTATGCTGCAATAAATTGCTGAGTGTATTGTTAAGGCTTTTATTTTGTAGAGTATCTTGTGTGTTATTTAAAAGGTCTAGCAATGCTCTGTCTTTAGCATAAATTAAAAGACTAGGGAGTCATATTGTTTAGTCACCCTTTTTTCCTTTTTTACTGTTCTATTCTATTCCAAGATACTCCAGTATAGTTGTCCAGTTTAAACACACAGAGAACAGGTTCTTGTTAACAGGGTGATCTGTTTCCTTCCTCTCACACCCACATCACCCAGTCTGGCATGGCTGCTTATTGGGTCTGCCTTATAAATCACACCTCAAGAGCAGGAAATTAAGGCTGCCACGCACCTCTTCTCCTCCCAAGAGCAGATATCCCACAACAAACACAACCTCTGTGGCTTCCTTCCTCTCCCCGTCGACCAACTCCTTCCCCAAGTCCACCGAGTGGATTTAAGTGGCTCTTTTAGGCAGCTTTTAAAGACTGTCATTTGTCACATGTGGATGTGGATGTGTGGATGTGAGGAGGGCATGTGTTTGACTCTGGACTAAATCTCAATCAGGGAGCCCACCTCTTGAAGCCATCTGGCGATTTCTGATAAATGACATGAAGCAAAGTGTTACTGATGGAAGCTTCAGCACTTTGTTACTTCTTCTCAAGCCAAACTGGCAGGTGCTTTTGTCAGTAAAAAAGACTAAAGTTTGCAGGTCAATGCAAGCATGTTAGTGAAGTAGTTCTATGGTCTCTGTGACAGACATCTAAGAATGAATCCATTAAACTGTCTAAAAGAGGAATTCAAGGCTGTTGGTAACAGATTAGAGCAACGATTTTTGATTTTCTGTTTTTTCTTTTAATCCTTTTCATAATATGTTTTTTTTTTTAAAGAGCACAGTCATTTCAGACATTAACCTTATTTTCCTGTAGAGAATCATTATACACTATATTGCCAAAAGTATTTGCTCACCCATCCAAATTATTGGAATCAGGTGTTCCAATCACTTCCATGGCCACAGGTGTATAAATTCAAGCACCTAGGCATGCAGACTGTTTTTACAAACATTTGTGAAAGAATGGGTCGCTCTCAGGAGCTCAGTGAATTCCAGCGTGGAACTGTGATAGGATGCCACCTGTGCAACAAATCCAGTCGTGAAATTTCCTCGCTCCTAAATATTCCACAGTCAACTGTCAGCTGTATTATAAGAAAATGGAAGTGTTTGGGAACGACAGCAACTCAGCCACGAAGAGGTAGGCCACGTAAACTGACGGAGCGGGGTCAGCGGATGCTGACGCGCATAGTGCGAAGAGGTCGCCAACTTTCTGCAGAGTCAATCACTACAGACCTCCAAACTTCATGTGGCCTTCAGATTAGCTCAAGAACAGTGCGCAGAGAGCTTCATGGAATGGGTTTCCATGGTCGAGCAGCTGCATCCAAGCCATACATCACCAAGTGCAATGCAAAGCGTCGGATGCGGTGGTGTAAAGCACGCCGCCACTGGACTCTAGAGCAGTGGAGACGCGTTCTCTGGAGTGACGAATCGCGCTTCTCCATCTGGCAATCTGATGGACGGGTCTGGGTTTGGCGGTTGCCAGGAGAACGGTACTTGTCTGACTGCATTGTGCCAAGTGTAAAGTTTGGTGGAGGGGGGATTATGGTGTGGGGTTGTTTTTCAGGAGCTGGGCTTGGCCCCTTAGTTCCAGTGAAAGGAACTCTGAATGCTTCAGCATACCAAGACATTTTGGACAATTCCATGCTCCCAACTTTGTGGGAACAGTTTGGAGCTGGCCCCTTCCTCTTCCAACATGACTGTGCACCAGTGCACAAAGCAAGGTCCATAAAGACATGGATGACAGAGTCTGGTGTGGATGAACTTGACTGGCCTGCACAGAGTCCTGACCTCAACCCGATAGAACACCTTTGGGATGAATTAGAGCGGAGACTGAGAGCCAGGCCTTCTCGTCCAACATCAGTGTGCGACCTCACAAATGCGCTTCTGGAAGAATGGTCAAAAATTCCCATAAACACACTCCTAAACCTTGTGGACAGCCTTCCCAGAAGAGTTGAAGCTGTTCTAGCTGCAAAGGGTGGACCGACGTCATATTGAACCCTATGGATTAGGAACGGGATGTCACTTAAGCTCATATGTGAGTCAAGGCAGGTGAGCAAATACTTTTGGCAATATAGTGTAGCTCTGAAAGCCAGCACCCATCCTTCCTCTGTCTCCCTCATTGATTTCCTTACACGTGTTTGTCTCCTTCTCGCTCTTCCAGCTGGTTGATGAGGAAAAGTCTGTGGTGATCATAGAAATGGAGAAATTGGTGACACTTTGCCAACAGCTGCAGATGGGGGCCAAAACTCCAGTACAGGGCAAGACTGCCACCTTCCAGAAGGTAACCCATATTACACCTGTAGTTAATTTCATTTTTGCTGTCGTTTTTTATTTTTATGTTTGAACAGTTCCTACAACATTTAGTCTGACTGGACTGCCATTAGGAGAAACATCTAATTTTGAGAGTTATTTACAGAGATGTAGAATTCTGCTACACAGTAGAAATGAAGTGTTAAAATGAATTGCATTTAAAAAGTAGTTAATTTCTGATTTAAAGGACATTTTGATTTACTTTATAAATATCTAATTTACTCCAGTTGACAAACAAGGGCTGTAAGTTACAGCGTAATGAAGCCTATATGAATAGAAAATATAAGAAACTAGATGATATAACCACACAGTTAACCAATTTCTATGTGTAAACATTTAATTAAAACTTTGTTTTCAGTTTTGAATCCAATTCGGATATAAACTGTTACAGTTTTTATTTATGTATTATACATTTATAATACTACAATTTAGCATTAATTCTTCTATAATTTTGAGGTAACACAAATACAGTTTTTAATTACAATACTATGTATAGAATTTAATAACTGATTTAGAGCCATATATCACATTTTAAGGTACTTTTTCCAATAATATCTGCAAATAGTAATATTTGAACTTTATTGATCTTACAATGGAGAAATTTACCTCGGCATTTAACCCATCCCCTTGGGGAGCAGTGGGCTGCCACTGTGCGGCGTCCAGGGAGCAGTGTGGGACTAAGGGTCTTGCTCAGGGACCTAGAGTGCAGGCTGCTGGGGATCGAACAAGGTACTTGCAACATTCTCAGAGCACAAGCACACAGCTTTAACAACTAGGCCATCACCTTCCCCATACAAATACTTTCAAACAAAAGTATTAAGTCTACCCTGTATTCCTCCTATTCAAGAGGGGAGGCGAGGGGAGGCCTAGTGGTTAGGGCATAGAGCTTGAAATCCTGAGATTCTGAGTTCGAGCCCCACTCCCACAGACTGCTACTCTGGATCTCTGAGCAAAACCCTTAACCCCACACTGCTCCCCATGGGGTTGGGTTAAATGCAGAGGTAAATTTCTCCAAAGTGAGATCAATTAAGTATTATTATTATTGACACACATGAACATTATCAAACAGATATAAACCTAAAGCTATATGCTGCTTGCAGGTCATTATTTTTTATTTATTTTTTTTATTTATTATTTTGTATTTAAAACAGTAACCTTGAATCTTGTAGATGTTTATGTAATGATGACCATGTTTTGATTTTGCAAAAAGGTGACATTTGACCTGCCTACAGTTTAACATTCATGACACGGCTCTCCTCATAGTGTAGGTTGGCAAACCGAGGCCAGCTTCATTTGCCAGTTCCTTTTTGCTGTGCCTTCCATGAAAATAGACTCAATCCGTACGACTGACCACCACAGAGTGGAAGAGGGCATTGACTGGATATCAGGCAGAGAGAAAACAAGCAGAAGATTGAGTGTGTTCAAATGAGGGATCAGTGTGATTCACCTCTTTCTTTTCACTTTTGAGGAGGGTCGGAGTACCTTAGACAGAGGCTGTTGCATTATAAATATTACAAAAAACTTTATATCTAGACAAGCTTTTAAAAGAGTTTTAAAATCCAGATGTCCATAAAAGTTCAGTATTTTTCTACATTTTTTTTTGTCCTTGCTATATCTGTCTTTACTGCCAGGACACTGGTGTGAAAGTACAAAGGCTATCATAGGTTGAGATGCACAATAATGACCAAGACTAAAAATGGATAAACATCCATCGTAGGGTTTGTGTCAGTCTGAACTATATGGGGCCAAGAGGAGAATTTAATAGTAGAAAATTATTTGTTAAAATAACTATTGGCAGTACAGATGCAATAATAAGATATTAATGTGCTCAGCACTGCTTAAAATACAATTTTTTGTTTACTTTATACATAATATTGAATATTATAAAACTGTTTAACCTTTCAGAAACTAAATTAAATGGAAGCGAAAAATGCTGCCATTGCTGCAGATATTGTTTGAATATAACATATAATCATGGCGCATGATATATTTTCTTTAACAATAATTTTTTCATATGGTAAAGTAAAGAGGAAATTTCGAAGAGGATTATCTAAATTGCATCAAGCAAAGACTTGGGAAAACATTAACTGCCTTTAATTTCTGATTCTGTGATGTATATTTCTCTTTCTTTATCTGTAGGTGGACTCATCGATTCAGACAACCAGAAACATCATGACTGTGATCCTCTCCCTTCTCCCTATTACTAACAAGCTAAATAAAAAGGTAACATCCACATTCATCCCTAAATAACTGGATTGAATGAGTTGGTTGGATTTCCACACATTTTCCTAAGTTGAAAGAGAGAATTCAGGCTCATTCTCTTCAAAAAGAAGTATTTTGGTCCATTTATGTTTTTACTGTTCTGAAAATTCCTTTATCTGTACTTCCAATAAAAAATTTCCCTCACCTCATAATCACTCACTCTTTTCAGATTCTTGTGAGTAGTATTTCTGCAGATTGCCACATCTAAAAGAGAAAGGTCCCTTGATGGGCTTAAACCATCACTACTTCAGTTAACAGACAAATACACTGAACATATGCCACACACAAAGACCGGATCTGCCTCTAGTACTTATTGCATTAAAATTAGAAAGTTCTGATGTTTAAATTTTTCAGGTTTCAGCTTTTTCCAAGATAGTGACACTTTTCCTTTGAAAAAAACAGCCTTAAGGACAAAAGTCCCTGGGTGGGCTTGAACCACCAACCTTTCGGTTAACAGCCAAATCCGCTGACCGATAACTACTAATAATTGTGTCAAAATGAAAGTTCTGAACATTTTTCAAGCCTCAGTTTTTTCCAGATTTCAGCTTTTCCATGATAGTAACACATTTCCATTAAAAAAACAGAGTTTCAATGTAAATGTAGCTCACAAAGTACTTTATTTATGCTACTTTCTAGGCAGTTGGTAGAGTATTTTACTCTTGGTCAGATATTTCCAAGATTTTAATAAGAGAAGACATTGAATCTATGCAACAACAAAAACCTTTCTGGATTGGAGGCAAAACATCTTCAAACTTGGAAAACAAGTCCAGTGGATTGGATTTGGAATGACTAAGACCTAGAATCTTCACCAGCATAAAGACAAGTGTCCCTGGGTGGGCTTGAACCACCAACCTTTCGGTTAACAGCCGAACACGCTGACCTATTGCACCACAGAGTAAATGGCAACAGTCCTTTTGCAAGACACACATCAAGACAGCACACCTGTGCATGATAAAAATTGTGTCAAAATGAGAGTTCTGAAATCTACAGTTTTCAGCCTTCATCTTTTTCCATGATAGTGACACTTTTCCTTAGAAGACTGACACTTTTTCTTACAAAAACTAAGTTTCAGTGTAAATGTTGTTCACAAAGTATTTTATTTATAATACTTTCCAGACAGTTGGAAGGGTATTTTCATCTTGTTCATATATTTCCAAGATTTTAAGAGGAGAAGACATTAAATCTATGCCACAACATGGAAAAGCAAGGTTTTTACTAAGCTGTGCACCATGTAATGCTTAGAAGAGCGTTACAATGCAGGACTTAATATGGAGTATATCAAAGGGGAAAAAAACAGTGCACTAATAAGCCTAGAGGTCAAACATCCCTGGTTGGGCTTAAACCACAAACCTTTCACTTAACAGCCGAATGCATTGAACGCCTGCACCATAGAGACGAGACAACACCTCTTTGCAAGACACTGACACACAAAGAGCATACCTATTCTCTACTAATAATTGCGTCAAAATGAGTCTTCTGAACAATGCAGTTTTCAGGCTTCAGCTTTTTCCAGATTTCAGCTTTTTTCTTAGAAGAGTGACACTTTTTCTTACAAAAACTAAGTTTCAGTGTGCATGTTGGTTACAAAGTACTTTATTTATGCTACTTTCCACACTGTTGGGAGGGTATTTTACACTTTGGTTAGATATTTCCAAGATTTTAAGAGAAGATATCATATCTATGCCACAACATGAAAAGCAAGGTTATTCTACAGAGCTCTGCACAATGTAATGCTGAGACGAGTTTTACAATACAGTACTTAATATAGAGTACATCAAATGCGTATGAAATAATGGTCTACCAATGCCTTGTTAAGCCTTAAAGACAAAGAAGAGTTTTACAATGCAACACTTAAAATAGATTACATCAAAGACAGGTGAAATAATGGTTCACCATTGCCTCATTAAGCCTCGTTAGCCACCCGCTGTCATTTCAATTCCCCACTCCCATTCAGGGGACAAAACATCTTGACTGGGCTGTCAAGCCAACAATTGCACCTAACAACCCCCATTTCAGAGGCATAGCCAAGTATCGGGTATTTCGGGCTAACAAAGTACCCAAAACGATTCCCCATTCTAGACAGCAGACCCATTCTTCTGGTTCAATTTACACGTTTTCTAAGCCAAAACAAGTTTTTGGGGTCCTTCGAAGTCAACACTAATTCTGACAATTTGAATTTAAAAACCTTTCTGGAGTGGAAGCAAAACATCTTCAAACTTGGAAAGCAGGTCGGGTGGATTGGTTTTGGAATGACTAAGACCCAGAATCTTCACCAGCATAAAGAAAAACGTCCCTGGGTGGGCTTGAACCACCAACCTTTCGGTTAACAGCCGAACGCACTAATCGATTGCGCCACAGAGACAACAAAAATTGTGTCAGCAAGGACCCAATTAATACAGACTGCTGACGTCACTCTGCTGCATCCACCGCTCAGAATGTTTTTTCGTTTTCGAGTTATGAACAGTACTTTGCTGGCAGACCACTAAAACAAAAAAAGCAATGTCCGCTGTGTTTTCTCTTTGATTATGGCATACAATGTGCAGTCTTAAGGAAGAAAATGCAAATAGGATGATTTATTACTAATTTTATTTATGATTCAAACAATGCAGCCAAATTCTCAAAATGAAAAAGCAAATAGAATTTTGGTATGTATTTGCTTGGGTACATTTGACAAATAAATCTCAAATTTCTTTTTCATTTTAATTAAGTAAAAGGATGAGGTGTGTTAAAGAAGAAAATGAAAATGCAATCAGGTTTATTGATTACTAATTTCATTTATGAGTCAAACAATGCAGCCAAATGAATGCCAATGAAAAATGAAAAAGCATTTATGAAAATGCTTTTTCATTTGAAATATGGTAACGATTCGCTTCCATACCCTTAATGTAAAGTTACTGCAACAACATTAAATGAAATCATTAAATGAACAAGGTTATGATGAGTGGGATTCCTTTGAGCATGAAATTTATTTATACGTTATTTCAAATCGACAAGGGCACTTCCCACACTGGTTACCTATTGAGTTATGGCAACAGTTTGATTTGAACAAGTTTTTCATTGGTGTATTAATAAAAATTAGCATTAATATTTAAAAACAATAAGGTTAACCTTTATATTATTGTCATAGTACTTTTTTCCCAGACAGACAATTGAAAAAAAGGTATTTGTGATTAATTTTTCTACACTGGTAGCAGTTTAAAATGTGTTCACAGATTTGAGAAGAAAAAAAATATTGAATTTTAATGTCTGACAGCCCGATCAATCTACAGGGAGAGTCAAGCTAAGAATCATCAATTTCCAATAACATCAATGTAAACTTCGAGGATATATTAGAAGAGTTGCATTTGATGCCATTATTGAACTTATGTGCTGTTATGTACGATTTTCCAAATGCAATTCTCTTGTGCAGATGTGTTAGAAATCAGAAACTGATTTTCTGTAAGTAATGTGGAAAAAATAAGATCAAACTCAAAGTTCTTTATTATATAAATATAAACTTTAAAAGAAAGCAGATTTTGGGACTAAAAAGCCTTTTTGTGCATTTTCATCTGTCATCTCTGTCAGTTTGGTTGGTGTGTCAGTGGATTTGTTGAACCTAAGGCAGGAGTTTTTATGCTCTTTAGGAATATGGTCTTACAGTCAAAAATAGTCTAAGAAACCAGATTAAAAAAACAGAACCCTTTTTTCTTTTTAAACAAACCAGATGTTTGGCCACAGTTCTACTCAGGGAGTATATTCAGAATGCCTTCAACATCTATAAATATGTTTGATTGAAAGGATTTGATAGAAATCAGTTTTATTTTAGCTCTTTATAAACCAAATACCTTTCGCTATGTTAGTATGAGATGCTTGATATAGGTCCTAATGTTCCCCAGAAACAAAGTCTGAGAAAAACTTAAAAAGCTAACAATAAAACCACAATCTGAAAACTTGGTTTGTCTTTCTAACTCTTTTTTTGTCTTGCTGAATTTGCAGCACAAGTCAGAGAGGACGAGCCTAAGTTCCCTGCCGGACTGGGCAGAACGACAGGATTCATCCACACCAGTCAAAGAGGATGGGGCTCTAAGCAGCAAAAACACAAACGGCTTTGGAGTCAAATCCCTGGAGCAGCACATGGCCAGCCTCAACCTCCTGGAGAGCAAATAAGCCAGGAGACCGTCTGCGTGTTTGTTTTTCCCACTGTTGTCACAGCAACACATAGTCAAGCTTAAATCTGTGAAATTATCCCATCATTCCCTTCAATCACTACAGGGTGAACTTGAAATTTACGGCAAATATGGCTGACTTGGGTCAGACAGAGGTCATATTTGACTTGCGGGGGAAGGGGGGGGCGAAATATACACCATGTCCAATCAAATGGATTTATTCCACATTTAATTGAACAACTAGATGTTTCAAAGTTGATAATAGGACAATCAGCCAACAGGATGAGTCTTCAAATAAAACACTCAGATTTGATGATTAAGGGTTTCTACAGAAGTACCGGTATATCAAAATTCTATGTTTCCAGACAAAATTTTTAATTACTTTCAAGATCTTTTCTAAAATCCTTGAGATTTACAGAAAAAAAAAAGTTTTGTCTTTGATTTTTCAGGTCCCAAAATGATGAAACACCACAATTTCACAATTTAGAAACTGGCCATCAGTTGTCTTTGTGATATATGGCCATCTAATATTTTTGGGGCATCTGGATTGTATCACAACAGCTCATCTTCAAGACAGGCTGAAGTGTCCTACTGTACCTAAAGTAGAGAATGTTAAGCAAAATTTCTGTATTTCAGTACAATTATTATTGTTTTCTGTGCTTTTTAGGACTAAAGATAATTATGGTCCTTTATTTTTTCGCAACTGTGCATTCAGTCAGTAAGTGAAAAACCGAAACACAAATGGCTAAAATAACAAAATCAATGGGTTTTCAGTTAATTTAAAGATTAAGCTTTCCATTAGAATAAACTGATGCACAAACCACATTATGCAGCATTGCCTATTTATTTTCCTCAAATATCCTTATGAGGGTGAAAATAACCAAAAAACTGAATATTTCCATTATGATGTTGCTTTTTATCCATATGTATCACAACAACCCCAAAACAAGGCTTAAAGCAGATTTAATACTGGTCCAGGTTGTGTTGGAGCCCCATTCTAGTTTGGAGAGAATGTCACTAGTTTCATTGCTCTGCTACGTGCCTGTTTGCCCCGAGCCCATTTGTTTTGTGGTGTACTGTAAATGTGTCCAACAAGTGCGATTGTAACATGTGTACCCGCCATAATCTCACTTGGACATGTATTTTATAAATAGATAGATTGGATTAAAATCAGTATATTTGCCATAGCATTTTACTATAGAACATTTACTATGTGCCATGTTAATGTGGGGGGAGGGGGAGTTTTCATGCGAAATGACTGAAACACTTTTTCAGCATCATAAGCAGATTTTTTTTACATCAGAATGACAAAAAAAATGCAGTTGTGCATTCCTGCTGCTGACAAATCAGAATCTTATTTTAAAGCATGCCGAGTAAAACCAAATCATCTGCTGTTCAAACAGAACCTTTAAATGTACTTGTTATTCAGTGTGAAGCATCCAAACATGCCACTATGAATTAAAGGGTATGATGAGATGTAAATTGTGGTACATAGAGCGTATGATATACTATGGAGCTAAAGATAGTAACTTTGACACTGGGTGAGCAGGAGATAATGACTGAAATCTATAAAGCAAACTAAGCTTTAGGGAATTATTGTATGTATCTTGTGAGAAAAGCTATCAAAGATTCAAAATAGGTTTAAAAATACATCTAGTTTTGGACCATCTAATTTTTGATGACTGAAAGGTTGATAAAAGGTTGAGAAAATAAATAAAAATATTTTTCATAAATCTCAGTTTGATTTTTTTCTTATCAAAGAAATTTTTGTCATCTGCAAATAATGTTTAGTACTTCACAAAAAAATACTTCATTTTTTCTTCTTTTATAATAATATAACATTCTAAATTAGAGCTTTCTGAAGCTTGGGAAATAAAACAAAAAAACTCTGGAGTCTTTGTAATTGGGAGAAAAACTGAAGGCAAAGTGCTTCTTTAGCAAAAGCTTCTCCTCAGGAGGTGGATTCAGTCCATTTTCTCAGTCTTTGTCTTGAACCAACTGGGAGAATGAAGGTGGGAAACATACTTAAAGAAAAAATCTCTCCCAGAAAATGTTAGTCTTAGATGCCCTATGAGGAGGGTTGTGACACACTGCGTTTGGAGACGACGCCCTCAAACTCTTCTCTCGTCAAGAGGTGTTCGGTGATGCTCTTGCTTTCCTCAAACTTTGGAAGGATGACGGCGATGTATCCTTCTGTGGACGGCTGTTCAAGAAATCAAGAACAGAATGCAAAAGCATTTCCTTAAGTTGGTCTTGTAAAGTCAGATAATTGTTATGTTGGGAAAAAAAAAACATGACTAATTACCAGAACCACTAGCAGTATAAACTATAATCGTATATCTTAATCTCATGCAATGTAATGTTATTTATAGTCTGGAGGGAATAGGAATCTACCTTTTCTATCAAGAGGTTTGGCGTTTCCAAAATGTTCTCATTAACCTCCAGAAGCCGTCCCCTTATGCAACTGGAACAACAATAAAAATATAATTAAAAATATTATAAGAGAACCAAACAATAAATGTTTACTGAAGGGAAAACCTTACCTATATATTGTGTACTCTGTCTCATCTGAGCATGTTATTCTGCACAACGGTGCAAAGTCTGTAACAAACTGTGCCCCCTATTAAAAGAAAAATGGAACAATGTATTCCAGGGAATCGTGGTAATAAAATTGTTTCTGTGCACATTAATCGAAAGAAATCAGAAGCTTAATAACCTTACCCGTTTAGACTTTCCCGACACTTTATTCTTCAAGCGACTGCAGCCATTACTGATCTGGTAATTGATGCTCTTGATAGTGCGTCCTTCCTGAAGGATTGGGTGGGTCTCAGCTAAGGTAACAACACACAACCTGCAACAGGAAAAGTTCATTTTTGGGTATCTAGCAAACAATGTACCTATAGCCAGATATTTTTTTCAGTGTTAAACTACTAAAGCAGAAAACAAATGAATAATTACTGGCAAAAGCTAGATTTTTTAATGTAATTTCTGATAAAAAAAAAAATAATAATAATAATTTAAAGACTTTAGAAAATAGAGGGAAAGCAGATGCATTTATTTTATGCAGGTCATAAACAGTGCCTTCGAAAACAATTAGCACAATTTAAACATTTTGTTCTGCAACACCAAAATTATAATTTCTTGAATACTCATGAGCCAGGTCAACACAAAGGTACTGCATAAATGCAAAGTGGAAAGAAAATGGGCAGAGATTTGTTTGGGGTAGGTCTCCACTATCTTGACAAATCTAGGGATAATTTCTCCCAACTCTCAGAACTCTTAAATATTTTTCATATAAATATTCCATAAATTTCCAGACTCAACATTCCAGAGTTGACAGTCCTTAGAAAATGTAATATAAAACAATCTTCACTTAGTTTTCAGGAGACTTATTGTAAATGTGGAACCTACAGGAAGTAGGAAAGTAAGGTAAACACAAGATGAGCGAAGGAAATCGGAAAAAGGAGGCAGGAGACAAGGGTAGAAATAAGAAAGAAAGAAAACAAGGCCATGCAAAAAAAAAAAAGGAATTTGAATGAAAGAAAGGTAAAGTGTACAACATATAGGATGGAGGAAGGAAGATACAGATAAAGAATATGATGAAAATAAAAAAGGAACCACAACTAAGTAAGGACATAGACAAAGTAAGTCAAAGACATAGGAATTAGGTCTAGAAATACACTTTTTCTTCTTTTTTTAAGGCAATGAATGCAAATGCAAACACTGGAAAATACTAAATCTAATTCAACATCCTTTCAGGAAATGCAAGACTCATTGCAAAACAATGCTCTGTCAGACTGAATAGAAATTGTCAGGAATCGCTTGCCATATTTCAAATGCACTTTCATTTAGGCTTCATCTTCTAATTGGCCAATTCAAAACTTTCATCTAAACCACTGCAGTTAAATCATGGTTAAAGAGTAACCCCAACAGCTCCACCAGTCTCTAGTCTTTTCAGTCAGAAACAATTTAAGACTGCATTGTATTAAGATTTTCACTATATATACATATATTCTTTTTTTTTTTTTTTTTTTTTTTTTTGCTAATGCAAGTTCTGTTTTATCTTTATAGCAGTTAAATTATTCCATGGATTTACAATAACCCATACTTAACTCGTGCCAAACTAACCATCCAATGGCTATTCATTTTTAATTTTGCTACATTTTCCAAAAATACAATTTTGTGGAGTGAACAACTCATAGCTCTACCAGGCCACTGAGCTGTGGTCGATTCTTTAAATCCTCAAAATCGACTTTCCAGGAGATTTTAGATGCATCCCTGCTCCACCACAGCCAACTGAAATTAGCAATTACATCTTCAGCTTGCCATCAAAACATATATATATAGGTGTTACCTGTTTGAATGTTGCAAGATGCAGTGATCCTCACATGCTTTACCCTTCATATCTAAAATAAATAAATAAATAAAATAAAATTTAACAATGAAAACAAGACATTTCAATTTATTGCTCGCTGAATTGAAACAAATAAAAATAAAAATGCTACCTGCTCTGTACCACCGTGTATAATATCGGTCGATAACGGAGGGTGCTTCTGCATTTGCGTTACTTTGATCCACACAGTCCATCAAAAAGTTCAGTCTAGAACCTTGTTTAAGAAAGAAAGAAAAAAAAAATCCCTGTACACATTTACTTCGAATGTGCTGAGCTTGACGGACATGTAGCGATGTGACCCTGGAGTAGTCCGCCTTTTTAATATGTCCGAAGGTACGAGAAAAGTACAGCATAAGGTTCCGGTTGGGGAACGCACTAGTTTTTGCATTTGTTTTCACGTGTATACAAATCATGTTTTGTTTTTGTTTTTTATTGAGAAATATATTGATCGTTTTGCATCACCATTATTATTATTATTATTATTATTATTATTATTATTATTATTATTATTATTATTATTTGATCTTTTTTTACAAATGTAATTATCTTTGTTTTTTCCATGTTCAATTAGTATATGTCATGGCAATATATATATATATATATATATATATATATATATATATATATATATATATATATATATATATATATATATATATATATATATATATATATATATATATATATATATATATATATATATATATATATATATATATATATATATATATGATTTCTTTGATTATTCAAAATATTCTGTTTCTTTTTATTTATCTGAAAATACCTTAGAAACAGCTATGGGAAAACATAATACAAACCAAAAGTTTTCATAATGATAAATATATTTTCTGTAATTGAATCTTGTAGAGTTATAACATCTTTGATCTCAAAACCCCTACTTATAAAGAAAGTAATTAATATTTGGTTGAAACAGTTTCGTAAGGAGTCCAATAAAGTAATTTCCTATTCATTAGCATTATCCTTTTTAAATAGAAATTTGAGGTGATACAGTCATATAACCTTCAACCTTTCTATGCATAATTACAAGAAGGAATGTGCAGTTTCAATTCCTCTAAAAGTTCTTAGTTTGCTGGCCACTAGATGGCAGAATGGTCCTATCACCTGAGTAGAAAATAGGCTCACTTCACATTTTAGTGTTTAAATAAGACTCCCTTAAAATTGAATGGTTGCTAGGTTTTTGCATTAAGCTGCCATACATTTGACATGATCTAAGCCAACCAGATTATCAATCACATTTTCTTAAAAGGGCAGTTTAGAACATCTATTAATTTTCTAAAAGGAATAGCATATCTCTTTCATCTTGGCTTCTCTAATATGCCATACTGAATCTATGCTTCAGTTTGCCAATTAGTGTATTTTGCAATACCGAGGTCTTGCATAGATGACTCATTGCAGAAATTCAGGAATGTTTTCCTTTTCCTTTGATTTTAGGGATAAGGGCCCTTAAGGAAATACCAAGCATGTCTAGTATTATATGTTCCATTACATTTGCTCACTGGAGCCTGCTGACATTAGTATGAGGTCAATTACGTGGCAATGACTTCATCTCAGTAGCATAATCGAGACAAATCAAACCCAGGAGCTATTTGGCTGGTGCTTGTTCCAACAATGAGTTTTCCATGTACCCACTAGCCACTTCTAAAGTCTATAAAACTTTTCTGTCCCACCAGATCCGTTTTTCCATGACTCCTCAGTCTGCAGAAGAATCTGGCCTATGCAATGCATTTCCACAACGAATTGGAACGGATAGAATGAGTCTGATCTGAACCAATTATGTGCAAAACAGTGATAAAACAATAAACATGACCATGTCCAATAAAGTTTAAAATCTTTATTGTGAATGTGTCCTGAACTGGCTTTTAAAGCACAAAATAACAGTAAGAACTCATTAGGTTTCCTGTAAGGCGAGACCACATCTAGTAAAAACTCCTGACAGTGTGTTTACTTTCTGCTCACATTCCACTCTGCTTTTGTTTGAACAAAATATTCCTCCTTTTTTCACTTTTCCAGACTTGCCTCTAGTATTCAATACCCATGACACAGATGTGTAGAGTGCCTCCAGCTGCACAGGCTTCAGTGAATGGATGTGTGTTTAGGACACACATAGCTGCGAGACAGTTACTGTTCTGCAGGCTGCAATTCCTCCCGTCTGCCGTGTGTCTGCTTGGCTCTTGTGGACGACTTCCAACTTTTTTCTGTGGATAGGTCCCTGCCATTAAAGTAGCTGCTGCTGTTTGTGTGTCATATAAAAAGAAAACCAAACAGTCTTTTTGTGGTCAATATATAATTGAATAAAATTAGGATTTTAATACATCACTTTTTTTTTTGCCTCATAATCAATTAAGAAAGACAATAATATTGTATTTCAAAGCAGAGTAACATAACTTTAATTCATTTAAACTGTAACTACATCAGAAGGAGGTCCAATGTAGATGCTTACTTGGATTAGCTCTAGCCTATTAAACCCTAAACCCCTGCTGCTTTCACCATTAAATGACATATATGTTTAAAAAAATAATGTTGTTCTGCAGGAATAAATATGGCCTATTACTTTTTTTCTGCCTGGGAGGCAATAAAATACCAATTATCACTGACCAGAGGGAGGGATGCTTTTTGGTGAGAGTTATGAGTAATCTTGATTTCAAAATGAAACCAAAAATGTATTTTTCAAATTCAGGTTGCTGTCTTTGTTGCAACATATCACTGAAGAGAAAAACATTCTCTAAAGAGCAAGGGAGTGGTTGTGGTGAAAACAACCTCCTGTTTTCTTCTTTTAGTTTATACACCTTCAACCTTGCCCATTGTCTCACAACCACTTATGAGAATTTCACCAACAGACCAACAAAGAGCAGATAATAAAACAAAATACAATACATAAACGACAGGTTTTCCAGAAGTTGTTAACAAAATCTAAAAATCTCACATTTTTATTCAGCCCCCTGAGTCAATGTTATATGCGTTACAGCAGCATGTTTGAGGGTATGGCTCATAGCTTTTTCAAACGTTTCTTGCAAAAAGCTCATAGCAATCAGGTTGGATGAAGAACATCTGTGAATAACAATAGATCTCAATCTAAACATGAATAGCTCCCCACACCATGATACATTCGTTAACCTATTTTAATGGTTGGAGATAGACTGTTGTATTCTTCCCTCATATATTCTGCAGCATGTCAGCCAGTTCTTATCTTAAAACAGCACCTTCATCCGCATGTTTACTTCATGTTGTGCATTGCTATCCTTGGTCTTTATGAGGATTTTTCGATTGATGATCTGTAAAGGGAATTCTACCAACTTTACCAACTTCTGAAGACAATTGGTGTTACCAAATTTCATCAAGAAGCATCAGATTAAAGGGGTCTGAATGCACACCCACCAATATGAATGTTTACATTGAAGTTTGTGTTTGTAATTTAAAAACATATGAACAATATCATAGAAGAAATTTTTAAGTAATTGTCAAAAAGTCAGTGACAAACACTACAGGCACAGTTGCCTACTTGTTATGTTCAGTTTTATAACAGCTCATTATAGTGACGATTTGATGCAGAAAAAGGATGGAAAATTACTTTATGATACATAATCTGAGGTAGAAATAAGATGCAGATAATCCAGGCTATGCCTTAAAGAGAGGTTCAACAGCCTGGACTTTTCAAGAAACCATGATTACCGGTAAGTGTTTTGTTGGAGCGTGACTATCCAGCATGAGATAAGGTTGAAAGTAGACCCAGACCTTCATGGAGGGATAAAATGTTTTTAGTACTTTAAGAATGCCTCTAAATCTACCGTCACAGAGTCCCTGTTTTCCATTACAGATTATGAATCTAATAAAACGAGAGAATGAAAAGGAATTAACAGGATGGTCCATTAATAAATAAAAGAAGGATTCCTTTAACATGTCAACATCCAAAATCCAAAGAATGTTTTAATTTTATTACAACCTTCATAATTTGAGTGATCATTTACCTAATTTCTGATGTCTGTTCTCTACTGTATTACTGCATTTTTTTTTTACTTGATTACCTCTTAAACAAGCGAAGAATTGTCCTCAGGCAACTAAAACTCCCTTAACAGTTGTAGTATCTTTCCCATGACCTAATCAATTTTTCAGATGCTTGAGGTAGGATCTTTGCCCACTCTTTTCCATAGCAGGTCTTTAGGGTTTGTGGGCTTTCATTTATATGCATCTTCCATGAAGTGCTTCAGTCTGAAGTCTTTTTTTTTGGCTTGTTTTCACTTCTTCTCCCTGAGTTGCAGTGTGCTCAAATTTTTCGACACACTGATAATAATTTTGCGCAAAACTTGTTAAAGATTTTTTTTATTTTTAAACGATGTCAAGTCAAATCTCTAAACTATAGCTTAATTTTCACAATACATTTGTGTTGAAAATGCTGCTCAGGGCTAAATTGATGAGAAAATGCTTGTGGTGCTTATTAATTCAGGTGTAAGATTACCCTGGTCTCTGAGTTCACAGACGTATGGTTTTGATCTAAGGGAGCTGCATGAACCAGTATGTTAAACCTGTTGATTTCCCCCTGAAATGTACAGATTGTCCATTGGGGGGGTGTCAAAATGCTTGAAGACATTTTCCTAATATCTGTGTGCTGGAACTGGTACTGGTTCTTTGGAACAGTTTCAATGTCAGAACAGTTTTAATATGCTGTCTGTTTTAATACACTTCACTGTCAAACACTCAGCAGCTTCCAGGTTTAATCCATCATGTCAGAGAAGAAGGAGAGAGAAAAGGAGTGGAAGGGAGTGAAAAACCTGTCTTGGGAGGGTTTTCATGTGCATATTTGTGGTCATTCTCTTTTTTTGAAACACTCCTGGCCTTTTAAGGGCCCAGAAAAACACTGTTTCTTTAAAATACATATTTTTAAACCATCTGAACTATAGTTGTTTGTTTTCTGAAGCTTCTTAAAAATCTACTGTGTTTTGCAGCACAAGCCTTTTTTTTCTCAGTCACAACTGATGCAATTTCTATCCTGTCTGACGTGTGAAAAATGAGAGGAAGTGCTCTCATTGGGAACATTTCAACCACCTACAACTAGTTTGAGACACAGATAAACCCAGAAGTGTTAAACATTATTATTCTTGTGCTGTTTAACTTTCATTAATCTCATTTCTCTTTTTTTTTAACAATGAAGTAAAAAAAAATCTCCATTTTGAAAACTGAGTGTAGCTTCTCGTTGAATCATCATGTTTTCATGAGAGGAAGGAGGCTTAACAATGTTGAAGGCAATGAAAAAGAAAAAAAATCTCCATTACTCCTTTTAACCTGC